ATTGATTGATTCAGATACAGACATGTAATAAATTTTAAGATAAGACTAACTGCCACACCCTTTGTAATCACTAAATCTACAATGCAACATTATACTGATTGTATCCTGCAAGATACCTTGAATTTAATTTGAATGACATAACTAGAAAATTCTATTTCTTGTTCAGATAATTAGTGCTTCTGATAAACCGTATGTGTTTCTTAAGTTACTTTTAAATTCATGTTCATAATTTGCAACATTTAAGTCAGATACTTAAGAATGAAGGTGGAGAAGTGAGTAATAGAGCCAGAAAAGCACAGGATATAAAGATGAGAACAAACGTTTGAGATATTATCAAGTTAATGTTATTGACATTAAACATATATACCTATAAAAACATTTAAATAAAATGAAAAGGAGAGGGATACATGTCTCACAGAAGCAACTGAAATTAAGTTTAACTCGAATAAATCGAGACTTCTGAAACTATAGACCAATACCTTTCTTATAGTAAAAACCTCAGCAGGTAATAAACCTAAGCGAAATTGTGTATACCTTCACTGAATTTTCCTGCAACAAAAGGATGCAATCCCACGGTTCGAAAGAATATTATACAACACATCGAATAGTCAAAAATAGAAAAAGGTGAGGAAAAGACAGTCGCTTTTTAAAATATATTCTTTAGAAACATGTAGTACTATTCAGGGTTATGGAACTAAAATATAACAGTAGGGCAGTAACACTTCAAACTTGCTCAGTTTTAAACAGTTAAGCGTATCGTTTTGGAGCTGATTATTAAATATCTAGATTACTTTTCAGGATCGTTTAAAAGTTACAGATAATTTTAATATTGGAGGATATTTTTCAGCAAAAAATGCTGAAACAATACTGTCAGACGGTAATTCAGTAATTTTATCTATTTTAGATTATGGATCTCAGTAGGGATTTGGATTAACTTTAATTTAGACTTCATCACTTTGAAGACTATAAAGCACTGGAGGGCTGCTATGCCCAAGTTTGGGACTTCTCAGCTAGGCGAGCCCACTATTCTAACGAAGGATTGAACTCAGCACTTGCAGGTTATGAAATCTACATCAAATTTAATCTGAATCTCTACAAAATGCCAATAATCTACCGGATGGATGCCCTGAAGCTTTACTGAGAAGCCATGGCTAATGGGGTTCACTACATCAAAGTGAAGTAGATACTCATCAAGGGTATTAGTTGACAAAGTTAGAATTCACGGGTCACTGAATTCCGGTCCAAGTGTCTGAATAGTCGAGGACCTGGATATCACAACCCCTGGTAGCGTTATATGTGAGCCCTTCTGAAGAATCCAAAACTAGGACGAAAGAACTGTCCAGTGCTCTGTGGTTTCCAATTATCCCCAACTGATGTTAGTTCAGGACGGAAATTATATTAAAATTTTATGTATGCTGTGATAAACTGAACATGATTTTTAACCTGTTCTGATGTAAATTTCAAAATGAAATGTTTTTGTACTTTGGAAAATTAAGCTTCAACACATGAATTCAATAACGAAATACTGATATACATAGATTTATGTATGTAATATTATGTATATATAAAGTGTTTGAAAATCACTATGTTAATCCTTTCGCGAAGTTGCACAACTCATATTTAACTATTTCGTATAACTGAAAAGTCTCGCTGAAGACAAAATTTCTGTATTCGCTCGCGTTCCTAGTGAGACGTAGGGATTCCGACTTTAAGCTTTGAAGTCTCATTAGCTGTGTTGTTACTTTCTGTGGGATGAGTCTGCTAGCCTAACACCCAACCTTCCCTTCTTACGAGTCTTTCTGCCTGCTAATGGTGGTTTAGGAGTGCGTTGGCAGGGAGTCGAACCCTGAACTATACACGTGTGGCTGGCGAATGCTCTGCCACTTACCCAACAGATGCACTGATGCAAATAAGCTACACTAAAACACTGAAAGATATGGTCACTATTCGCTTCAAAATATTATAATTTTCGATCATGTGTGTTATAAAAGCCCCCAAAATGTTAAACCTTTTTATGGCAAGTCACAGAGAATATGAAACTGTATTGTTGAACTAATGTGATCAATAAATGTCATTCAAATTAGGCAGTTTTTTTGCGCTGACAAGCAGAATATAGAATAGAAAACGTTGGATATTGGATAAGTCATAGTTAACTGAATCCTGTGTCAGCAAATATTTTAAACCAGTTTGTGCTCCCACTCTCTCTCCCATCCTCTTCTTCTATCTCTCAAGCCGCACACAAAAACACACACAAACAATCAAAACAACTCCACGTGCACAAGATAAACAATTTTATAAATATAAAAGTTGAGCCGAACGTTATATATATAATTATAATAAAAATAAATGAATTATAAGAGTTGACTGAAGCACCATATAAATACATATATATGTTATATAAATCAAAGAATAATCAGATTTGTTTTGTCATTTGATGAAAAGTGAAATGAATATCAGATCATAAATGTCATACAACTGTTTGCATTTTATCATATAAATATATATAAGCTCCAAAACATTGTCAAACCGTTTCCTAAATCATTTGTGTAAATATTGTTAACGGGAAAATCCAATCGTGTATGCAACACGCAAAAAGAAACGAATTTTACCCATGATAGAATCTAATTTTGCTTTCTGAAAAATGAAGAACGAAACAAAACTGTTTCACACTTATACTCCCCTTTAACTGAATTCACTTATCTATACATATATGTATGTACGTTACTTCTTGTCATGAGAATACGTTATACAACATTTATCTATTATTTTACCTCAGGTATATAATTTATCATATAGTGTCTAGACAAATAGCAAAAATATTCATGCATAAGTTGTTTCCTTAAACTTTGTGACATTCAGATTTTGGAAATGTGCTCCATTTTTTTAAAAAAACAAAAGCACAAAAGTATTTCCATCACTAAAAAATTTTAGGATGACTTCGATTAGTTCTTACTGATAAACAAGATGTCAAAAAGTATTTTTAAAAAAGAAAACAAAAAAAAACAAGAAAACAGAAGTGTCATACTTTGACGTAAATCTGAGTATGGTTATTTTGACGGGGATAAAATAAAAAAATGGAATATTGTTAGAGCTTGGAGGCAATCTGCAGCAAGCCGTGTATGCAGTTTTCATGCTTCTTGTCAATTGTCAGAATGACATGTCTGCAGCCTCGAAGGATTCAATGCACCTTGCCCACTCCTACCCCCTAGGTTCGAACCAGCATTACCTAGTGTTTCAGCTACAGATGTTATTATCAATCTAATTTGGCCATCTATTGACCTCATGTATGACTGTAGTGTTCAGAGTGATCCGGATTGTAACAAGTGGCGCGTAACTTTTGCTTAGTGGTGCACACAATGTTAAATATCCTGGATTGGTGACCATACTGCCAACTTAACTGGTAGAACTAATTCAGACTAAGCGTATGACCCTGTAATATCGTAGTGACAGATCAGAACAGAACAGAATATAAACTCCTGAGTGGATGACGACTGATAGTTAAAATTGCATTCACCTTTCGTAATACTTTTGTTAAATTCTCTGCGTTCCGAATGAAATATAGGACTTCAAGCTTTAAAGTTTCAGTAGCAGTAGTGTTATTTTTGCACAGTTGGGTTGCTGGCCACATGCTCAACCTACGCTCTTTACCGAGCTTACTTCAGGTTTGGGAGTGAGTCGGCCGGGTATCGAGCCCCGAACCACATGCCTGGTTGGCAAGCATTCCACCGCTGTCCCACCGACGCTATATCATATTGACTTGCAGTGCTTTCTAGGAGTTATTTCGGTCGATCGACCAATCCTATAAATAACCATGGGAAACAAAACTTCCACTTACAAAGTGATATTCAACCTATAAACGGTAAATAATGTGACATATTAGCATGGTGAATAGAATATCGATCTTTGAAGCATTGAATACTGAGCCAATATATTTATGGAAATAACAACTCATGAGAGTGCCAAGTTTCAAGTAGGAAGAAACTTGAGCTTTATATCGCAAAGATATCTACTTTATGCAAAGCTAAATACATTAAATATTAAACTGATAAAATTTTACAGACAAATGAATAAAAAAGCCAGGAAATTTAAAATTTTATCAAGCGCATTTTAGGCGGCAAAAGCTCACAGTAAAAAAGTATCTTGATTCTTCTAAGTCTTGTGTATCACAGGTGACATAATTAGAATATCTATCATCGAGTATTCATGACTTCATAAATACATATATATGCACTGATTTGCCTCTTAGGAGTAATCAGTGTCATCTGTGTAGTCCTTAGTCTCCACTGAATTTGTGTCACTTACACCTGAAATTTGGCTAACAAGCTAGATGAAGCATCATCACAGTGCACTTTGGAATGATGTTAGGCAAACATCCATGCTGCGTCTCAGTTATTGGATTGGGAGCCTTTAGTTTTAATTCTCGAAATATTCTATACAACTTTCATTTGTCAAGATCTTTATGATAAATAAAGCAGTACTCTGTTTTAATCTTCTAAGAGTCCTATTAGTCGATTAATGCACTTTGGAATAACCTTACTTTTTTCCAGAATTGTGTTATAAAGATTAAATTAATTGACAAAATCTCCTCTAAGCATAGTTTTCATCTACTGTCCAACCTTGAGGAAGGTTGTCATACCATTACCATGTTGCAGTGTCTGTGTTGTAATTAGAACGACAGAAGAGAGTCCCTTATTAATACTTAGAACATTTTAAGAATATCTCCTAAATTCTATACAACTAAGAAACTCTTATTTGGATCATTTTCGTAACATGAAGAAGACTGTATAAAGAGGAGATGAAGGATTATAGGCAGTTATGGAGTCAGTTGGAGGGGATGGCAGTGAATAAAATGCAATGGAGATGTGCCACCGAAATGCAAGGAATGAACGGTAATAATAACAATAATAATCGTAAAATTAAATTGTAAACAACCATTTTCTTATCAGTGCATTAAACTTTTTCCTTATTATTATTATTCTTTTTCTTCATTTATTTAAAAGGCTTTCTTCGATAAACAAATGGAGGCGGAAAACTCAGTTATTCGGTCCCTTCTTTCTCAAACCAAGAAATCGTCATCATCAACTTCAACAGCCAAGTCAGATAAAGACTACAATAAACCTGTTCAGTATCCTACTTCACCAGTTTTTAATTCAGAATTTTTATTTCGTCAACAAATCTGCCATTTCTTGCCAGTTGTACCAGTTCCAATAATTGATGATGATACGGATTTAAATAGTAAAGGTGAGTGAAATTATCGCCCGTTATCAGAACAGTTAACAGTTAAAGTTCCTGTCGTATAATCAATAGGTTTATTTTTATAATCATTTTAACAATCAATTGGCATTTATAAACTTCCTATACACAATGAGTTAACTGTCGGTCATAATAAGTAATCCGTTGTCTTTGAATAAAACATAAACAAATAGTTTGTGCGGAACAAGATTATATCATAGTCTGTTTCGTCAGCTTCTCATTAGCTGCTTACAGCCTAAAGAAATTATTAAGTTCATGCGCAGAATAACTGTAACATACTTACAAATGTTACTTGATGTCAGTTGACAGGAGACTCCAAACTATACACATAACTCATATATACAAGATTCAAGTTTTACAATAAAAGCTTGCATACAATGTCAGAGCAGTTGCGTAATAAGAACAAGAGGTAGATAAAATGATGAGTAACTTATAAAATGAGTAAAGATGTGGTGAGTTCAACCCACATCATTTAAACAAAAGGCAAACAAAATCACATTGCAGAGAAGGGAAGGAGGTTAAAGCCAAAGATTACGTAGACAAATAAAAAGAGAGTAAAGACGTCCGGTTACCAGGGCAAATAGAGACTGATAACTGCTTCTTTCTGAACAAATAAGTCGGATTTCAGGAGTCTAATGGCATTGCTTTGGCAAACTTGACCAGAACTGAACTATTTTGTCTGTTGTATGTATTAGTTATATAAGTGTAATTTCTAAGTAATGTTTATCAAGTTTGGAGTCTCTTGTCAGTAAACATCATGAAACATTTGCAGTTGTGCTAAAATTATTTTGTATGTAAATCTAATAATTCCTCTGACCTGTACTCAGCTGATAAGAAGACAATGCAATGAAGGATGGTACCATCAAATTCTCCATAAACCACTGTTTTTGCTTGATTCAAATTGATAAAGCGGAATAAAGTCATGAGATCTGTTACGCAAATAAAAGTCTCTCTAATAATGATAACGAAGGCTTAATTCCAAGCAATAAAACAGCTTCTAGTATAAAAGTATGCTGCAGTACATCGTGTGACGCTGTATTGTTCCATCTGAAGCAATATCTAAGTCTCTACGGTATTATTTCCCCATTTCTTCTGAGACGTGCTCTGCGTTGCAGCGAAGCATATCTGTGTGCAAGTTCATGTAGCGATCCAAAAACAAAATTAGATGATTAAAACATTAAGAAATGGAGAAGGGTTTATGCATAATACTAGATGGAAATCTAGGTAGCTCAGTGATTTATGCAGGCTACCAGTTAGTAGTCGCTTACCAGAGAACGACTATTTAAAGTTTGACGAAGAATGTACTAACACTCCGCAATAAAGAAGTCACCCAATGACACAATTCTTTCAATTAAAAGACTACATAACTGAATTCGAGTTACTTCATTTCAAAATTATGTAACTCTTGTATTAGTGTTCACAGATAGCTATTAAGTCTTATAGTTAGGGTCAAATGATGAATTAATTCTTAATAATACAGTAGTGTTAACAAGTGTTAGTGTGACGTAACGTCTACTTAAATCCACATAAATATAAAATCTTAACTGACTTATATAATAGGATCCATCACTGGAACTTAGTATTTTCCTCAGTCTGATTTACTGCTTCATCACTTCGTTTAATATACAAATTCTAATTGATTTCTAGCATCACTGTATTACTGGATAGCTCAGTGCATTATATACTGTGCACTTTATGACTGGTGGTGACTAGTGGTAGAAGGAAGTAGCAAATTTCCTATGTTCTATTTGAGCCTCATCAGTTTGATGCAAAAATAAATATGCTGTCCAAATTACCATCGCCACAAGAAATAAATGGCTTTCGCATGCATTTTTCTAAATGTATATGGTAATTTGAATCTACGCGTTAAGTGTGTATTTTAAAAAGATAACTTTTTAAAGTTTGATTATATTTTAAGGCTTTTGATTAAACTAACGATAAAATGAAAGTGTTTATTTAAGACTATTTTTGTACCTAAAAGCCTTTTTTCAAAAAAATGGCATCATTTTCCAGTTTATTCTAAAAAAATTAAACGGGATATTTATTGGAATCACCCATCTAATGCAAATCAATATAAACATAATAATATATACCTTTATTCTGCACATAAGGTTTACACTATATACAGAAGTCTCAGCGTAGTATATTGCATAATATTTCCTCCTTACCTAGGATCTTCATATGACTCACTGCAATTCTATCTGAAGAATAAAATAATCCCTTATGGTATTTTTCTCTCGTCTCCGAGAACTGCTCACCTGACAGTTTGAAAGCCAACTAAAAATGTGCGTGAGTACAGTTTGAGACTGAAGGACACAATCGAATCGTTAAAATAGTATGAATTAGAGAAAATACGATTCATTGTATTGGATGGAAATTCAAGTAGCCCAGTGATTCACCAGCCACCAATATAATATATAAGTATTCAAAGACTTGTACACCTTATATACCATGTTACTAAAATTTATACTTGCTTTATATGCCAATGAATTCTTTCAACTGGAGATACTGTTAAACATCCACTACCTCACTTCAGTTTACTGATAAAAAAGCATATCTAAGTCAAAGTATGGGAAAGGTGAAGTGAAAATAGTTCGCGTTTATAAGTAATGCATTATGTAAATAAACCCGAAAATTTTAAAAGCCTACAATTCATAAAGTAAGTAATATTTATTAAATGGAAATCACCAAAGAAACAAAAATAACTAAAAATGTGACAGCGTAAGAGTAGAGCTTAGATACTGTTATAGAGTATACCTCCATATTCCATAAACTTAACTGATATAACACAGTGATATAATATTATTAACTAGATAAAGTGTCAGGCACGAATACTTGCTTATAATCACATCGCCGCAGAAATACGGTTTTCTAAGTTGCTTTATACACATCTATTACAAACAATTTCTCCAAACTGTTTGTATTTAAGGGAGACAAAATGAAAAGTACCTAAGGCAGTGATTCTGATGTTATTCACATTACTCTTCGGTGTAAACGAATCACATTCAAGCTGCTTCATAACCAATGATTCTGTACTCTATTCATCTTAAAAATTAGACTAACTATGGATGTATGTTCTGTGTTGACTAGATGTTGTGTGGTAACACCTTTACCATGCTCCCAAAACTGGTAAATTCCACTTTCTCTCTCTGTTCTACCTGCTGTCTCCGTTCAGTGCATTTACATTAGTAGATCCTGTTAGAATTGGTACTAGAAAGACACTCCCTTAATCTGAACTACCCCAATATACATTCTGTTTCATATATCAACCATCCTGATACTATTTTTTCACTATTCAGTTATGTTCTTCAATGAGTAGAAATACTGAAGTGTGAACATACTGATAATTATGATGATTATTCACAACTTGATTAGATTTATAAATGAATAAGTACAGGTCAACATAAAGTTCAATAGGAATGTGTGAAATAGATGATAGGATTCATTATAATAAAGGTTTTTGTTTTTCCCAATGAATGAAAAACCAAAACGATATTGTTTTTACTGACATTTCGCTATTTAATGCTGCTGCTAATAGCTTTATCAAAGTATTATTAAACCGGAATTTATAAAATCTCAGCATATATGTATAACAAAGAGTTAAGGGGTGAGAAAATAGACTTAGGTCAAGTTAAAAGGACATATTGAAAGTTGAAATAACAATGAAGATCACTAAACCAAATAACAAAGTTAATAGTACATCTGTTATGGTATCAAAACAAAGTTTACTAACTTGATCATCGTTCGTTAGTCTGGGGTCATTTTTCGTTGTCAAGTTAGTCAATTGGTAAAAATAACAAAATCAAAATCAAGTGTAGATTAATATCAGTAAAAAGTTTGAGCATTGTGGATTAGATCAAATAAAATATAATTATATTTCAATAGTTTACACACAATGATAAGTTTTGTTATTGGTAATATTTCGAGCAAAATTGCTGCCCGTGTTCACACCACTGTTGGAATTGTTTGATTCCAAGTGCAGATTGTTGGATTTGATCAGTGTTTAAAATTATAAAGGCAGTGTGTGTTCACATAGTGAACTTGCTTATCACATTAGTGTTGATTTTGTCACTTCATGGGGGAGGGAGGTGTTGTAACCAGGTCAGATTCTGTTTTAGTCCATCATTCCTATTCAGGCAATTTGGATTCCATTTGATATGAAATGCTTCTGAGATTACACGTTCTTTATGATTGACTTCATCACAATCTCGAGGAAGTGGCGGCGCAGCCTACTGGACACAAAAGCAAGAAGAGGAGCAGACGTTGGCTCAGACCACTACCTCGTACAAGGAACAATCCAACTCAAATTAAAAGCTTTCAGAGAATCAGGAGCTGCAGATAGACCACAAGCCAAGTTCAACACTCAAAAACTAAAGGACCAGGATACAAAGGATATCTTTACTGCAAGTATAAAGGACAAAGCTGAGACACAAATCAACATTAGCGAAGAGGTCAGCGTCGAAAAACACTGGGAAAACCTGAAAACCGTATGGAGCGAAACCTGCATGGAAGTTCTGGGCAGAAAGAAGAGACAGGACAAACCGTGGCTCACTACGGACACTTGAAGGCTAATAGAAGAGAGAAGGATGGTGAAACAAAAGATTCTCCAGTGCACCGACGAGCAGCAGAAACAGGAGTTGAATGCAAGCTACAATACACTGAACAAAGGAGTTAAGAAGAGTGCCAGAGAAGACAAAAGAAAGTATTATGAAGCTATGGCCAATGAAGCAGAACAAGCAGCAGGCAAAGGAGACCTCGCAACACTCTACCAAACAACTAGGTACCTCTCAGGCAAAAACTCGTCACAAATTAAGCCAGTGACGGATGAAAATGGAAAGTCAATCACCAAAGAAGTGGAGCAAAGGAAACACTGGGCTGAACACTTCAAAAGACTACTAAACCGACCGCCACCTACAACGCGCCCAACAATACCAACAACGGAAGCAGAATTACCAGTGAACATCAACCCCCCGACGAAAACAGAAGTC